TGTCCTTTTTTTCTCTGAAACAAAGCGAGGAAGAGACACACCTCCTTTAAGAAAAAAGAAAACCAAAAACACATCCCAAACTGCAGCACGGGGGCTGTTAACCGGCTGCGCAGCTCCACGCCAGCCATCCGAACCTGCTCTCCCAAACATGCCGCGTCCCACCATGCCTGTTAATTACACCAAACCCTCCCTCCATCATTTGAAACCCTGATTATCCCAAATTCTCCACCGCTCCCCATTATGCTCAGATAATTGAGGTTGCACGGAGCACACTCGCAGCCAGTTAGAAGAGCAAGCATTATCTTTCAGCTGATACAACTATCAATAGCAAGTGTACAGCATATACTACAAAGGCTTTATTGTGCATATGTAGGGAGATAGAGATGAGATACGGTTCCAGGAGGCAGTTTGTCTAGTGGTTACAGTACAGAGTTGGGTGTCATGAGACCGGAGTTTTAATTACTACCTCTGCTACCGACTCCGTTACTCAGATAAACCGCTCGCTGTCTCCGCATGCCAGCATCCCGCCCTGCGAAAAAGGGCACTGTGAGAATTACCCACCTTTGTCAAGTACTTAGATATCCTTAGATAAACAGCTTTTCATGCTTAGCTGCTGAGTGTTACTGTCCATTTAATTGCATTTTTTAAAACTCTTCAGAAAGGACTGAAATAAAAGCCGAAAACATTTGAGAGCCAGAGCTTTGGTTGGTGGAAGCTGGCACGGAGTTTGGCAGAGCTGTGCTGATGTAAATCCAGCCCGACCTGGCCCTTTAAACAGAGTTTGCTAAGCATGACGTGACCGGAGTGAACACGCTGTACTACGCGAGGTACAAAGCACCCAATGCAGACTCAGAGCTATTGCTGCAAAACGTTTACGGCCTCAGCACAAACCGGTACCAGCACTCGGTACTGAACAGGAATAATACGGCTTTCACAAAGCAATAACCTGCTTGTGCTCAGCACTCTCTGACCAGAATCATCTTGCTCTGGGTCCCCAAACTTTCCACACACGAGCACTGGCGTTAACACGTGTCCTCCCGCGGGTGAAGCCAGCCGGCGCCCGGCACGCTGCGTGCCACTGCTGGGAAGGGTGCCAGGCTCCAGGAGCACATCTTCAAAATCGCTGGGGGACCATTAACGTCTGCGCCATGTAAAAACGCACAAAGATAATAGAAAATAAAGGCCTTTGGATAATGATAAGCCTGCTGATTGCAGGTGAGTGGCTACAGGAGCTCTCCTTACAAAGCTGTAACTGCGAGAACAGTACGCCCGGACACGGTGCAGACAGGCTTGTAATCACCAGCCACCGAACGCCTTTGGAGCACCTGATGCTCTACTATCTTTCTGCTTTGTCTTACAAGCATCTGAAATTCTGTTTTAAGGCTTTTCCATGCAGCGATTCCTGTAAATCACCCCTCTCGGCTGGAGAGCTGAGGTGAGGGGGAAAAAATCCCGCGCTCACTTAAAGCCTTTTATTTCTCTTGTAACATGGACATCTTGGAGAGCAGATTAGCCAAAGGAGAAAAAATAAAAAGCAAACGGTATTACTGGTGACCTAATCCTTCCTCTCAGAAAAAGAAAAGGGAAAGAAAGCCTCTTGTGATCTCCAAGGAGGAACTTGCCTTGTAAACTAGTCTCCTGTTTGAAACGGAAACAAGAATGTGAATCCTGATACAGAGAGGCTACCAAAAGCAGGGAACAGCTTAACAGACCTGAGATTTTCCTTTCAGCACGACACGGGGTATTACACAGGACCTGTCTCAGTTAGAAAAACGTGCGGTGAAAACTTAACAGGTTATAAGATCTTATAAGATCCTTTGGCCACAAAGAAATCCAAATGCGGTTATTTTTATACAGTAGGCAGGAGCGTAATCTGTGTCCAAGTTTATAAACTGTGCGCTTGTAGTTCATTAAAAGGATTCTGTTACCGGTTCCTTTCTCGCAGGTTATTGTATCCAACCCCTGCGACGTGCATTTACAGCCCTCTCAAACCTGCCCCTCTATAAAACCAGGAATGCTGCCCCTGCCCCCCTCCCCTAAGGGAATGGGGGCAATCAGCATTAGATTAACTAAATATTTGAAGAAGGGAGCCATTTTTACTAGCAAACACTATTTGGAATAAAAGCTTGCACTTCCTAAAGTGCTTAGATAAAAGAGGATGAAGTAAGGCACGTTGGCTGGCACTGTCCTCCTCTGACAGGTAAGAACTCCAAGATTTGGATAAGTCCACGGCAAAACGGAGAGCCACCACCCAAACCTTCTCCTTTCAACCCCTCTCAACCCCTACGTGACCCCTTGAGCCCCCTTGGCTGTACCAGGACAGACAATTGGCCCATTGAGCCCCGGCTTTACCCAGCTAAATCGCTCCTAATGGCTAATTTACCAGATAAATTTAACCTCCCTTTCTGCACACAGATACCAGGCTGCGGCTCCCTCCATTTCCCATAGCTCGGACATTTTCCGAGGAGCGAGCTTTCTTGCAGTCTCCTTCAACTTCTCACTCGGCACCCCTGGGACATCACTTCAGCTCCCCAGAGAGATGATCCAAATGCTGCTGGCCCCGCCACATGGCCACAACCATCACAGCTTCCAGCAGCACCCACGTCTTTACGTGCTTTTTCACCGACACCAGTGAAAATCTGACCTGTGGGGAACGTACACAAACAGAATGTCATCGTGGCTATGGCTAACTCATTTTTTAAATTCCAGGTAATGTCTTTAGACCTGACTTTTTTTTTTTTTTTTTTTTTTGGCATCATGCCCCAGCTCCTATCCAAGTATCCGATGTCCACGGCTTCCTACGACATGGTGGCAGATGCCATTCTGATAGGGAAGCAGAAATTCCTTCCTGACCCAGAGGATTGCGTCATGCCTCTGAAATGCGAGATCAAATCCAGTCCAGCTACCTGTCCATCTCCAGACTGCCTATCAATTAGCATTAGACACTAATTTGATTAAATCAGTATGTTGAAATTTTATTTGGTTCCACCTAAGGAGTATAATTCCCCCTGCGTGGTCTCTGTAACCCACTAATTTTCCAATGGAATGGGAAACACAGGTTGGGATTTGGAGGCTGTTTCTTCGACTTGTTAACATGTGAGCTCAAAACCGCAGTAAAAAATAAATCCATGCAACTTCGTAGAATGAGACTTGCCAGTTTAAGAGAAAACGGCTTTTTACAGAATAACCCAGATGGAAAAAAATGTATACATTTAACTCTGAAACCTGAAGTGTTCTTTGAGGGAAAACGAATACGTTTTAGCCTTAAAGGGATCACAGACTGCAATTATATAATTCTTGTCAACTGATGTTAAAGATAGGCTGGAAAGAATGTATGCTGAGGCCCTGCAATAAAACGAGCTCCTTTACTCCTTTCAAATGTTTGCAAGCCTTGGAGGTTATCCAAAGGTCGAATACAGGAAAAGTCTTGGTGAACAGAAAACACAATCATGAGCTTTTTTAATATGGGCTCTTTTTGTAATAAAATAAAATTATTGTAAGGGAAGGGAGGGCGGGCTCTGTCTCCTCAGATCTAGGGCCAGGGGGGCTGAGTTTTAATCAGAGGCTGCTGTTCTCCCCTCCCCGCTCCTCCCCAGCCTGTCACTGCACCAGAGCGAAGGCAGCAGAGCTGCGCTGGGTGTTGGGTGCACTGCAGAGGTACCAAAACCCCTCAGCCTTGCTGCGGTACAAGGGCACGCTTCTGAGAAGGAGGTAGAAACATCTCCATTGCCAGAGGCAGCCAAGGGTGGCCGCAGCTCCCTGCTGCCTTCGTGTTGTACTGGGGTCTGCTCCAGCAGACCTGTTCCACGCAGGGAGCAGCTCCATACGCCGTAGCAGTTACCAACGTGCTGCCACTCGTGGCACACACCAGATAAGCACTTGTTTCCCCACAGACACCCCACTGGGAGCATTAAGTAGTGGTGAGGTTTGTGGAGAGCCTCGCGGCCAGCTGCAGCCACGCAGAGGTCAGAGGTGGGTTGTCAATACTCACGTGGATCTGGGAGCAGAATCCAGAGCTGCACGCTCTACTCTTACCAGAAGTGCTACAGCTCCTCTCATGAGGATTTGTGGTCAGGGAGCTGTTTTCTCCTTCACCCTGGAGTACGTGGTGGCATCGCCCAGACAGCCCACCTGCAGCACAGCAGCAAACCAGAGGCAGGCACTCGCGCTATCGCATGCGTTTGGCTCAGAAATTTCCTATCCAATTTGCCTCCATCTCCTCCAGCAGCTAAACACGGCCTGGAGCTGCAAAGCAGGAAGTATCAGGAAGAAATTCATGAAGTAGCCTCTTACCGAAGGCATCAGGTGCTCCTGAGCTGTGATCATCCTTCATAGGAAAACCTGGGAGATGCACACCAAGACTTTTGTTCTAGTCCCATACTCTGTAACACCTTACCACCAGTCACTCCCTATCATGAACAGCCCATCACCCAAACTTACCTATACCTCAGCAAATGAGAAAATCTTAAAATAATATGTTTCCCTCTCAAAAATGAGAAGCCACTTTTAACAATCAATCTGCACTGCCTGGAGTGCACGTCATACATGCTGACAAATCCAACACTGTGCTGAAGATTTTGTTTCCAATTTGACTTTCTTGTGGACTTCTTCTGTGTCACATTTGACCTTTATCAATCTGGTGGAGAGGCCTTTCCCATTACTTTCACCAGATAAATAACCAAAGTTAGAAAAAAAAGATCATACTTACCAGTGCCACCTAGATGAGAAACAGTTCAGAGCTGGAGCAAGCTGGATAGACTGCTAGAAATTACACCTGCTCTGTTTGGATGTGAAACTATTTCACGTTAGTGGTGCTCCCACAGACCATCTCTGGCCTACAGGGCATGAAAACTCAACCCCACGTTTAGTATATATACATATATTTAAAATATCATTTCATGGCAGCAACACATCTTCCATCCTGAACTGCTATTTGCTCTCCCTCATTGTTAAGGAATTGGTGGGGAGCCGTTATTTCACAAAGCCAGGAGACAAGTGTCTTCAAATATGGCATCTCTTTATTTTTTAATAGTATGGACACTCACAAAGAAGACATAATGGACAGCCCTCCTGCATTTCAGGAGTGACCATAGCACTCAGTATCAGGGCACCAGCCCCCCTTCGGGTACAACCCACAATGCCACGTCTCCACCACCTCATATCATCTCCCCCTCTTTTACCCAGTCCTCCTCCTCCGTTTGGATGGTGTTCCTCTGCTTTAGCCACACGCTCCTCTTCTTTTCTTTGAGCTGAAAAGTCAAGAGTAAACACATGAACACCAGAAAAGTCACTGGAAAGCATACTGCTGGCACTTAAATTAAAGGTCCCTATTCATAGTCTGATTTAAGGAATTGTTTCAGCATTAAGTCCAGCTGATTTTACGAGACAGAAAGACACACGTTGAGGCACCCATCCTGAGTGAAGTGTCTTGCCCAAACCAAGAGATAAATTAAAGGAAGATATCCTCCAGAAAAGACATGCACTCAAGACAGCTCTGAGGCCCAGGAAAGAGCGACAGCAGCAAGCTGACCCTACAAAGCCCCAACGAAATCAGAGACTGGGGAGATGAGATCCAGATTTTCCTGTGTGCAGTCCTGTGAGCTGAAGGTGGATGCTCAGCGGTGCTGCAAGCAGCCAGCTTTTCATATGAGCTCCACACATGGGAACAAACATGTCCAAAGGCCTCACACCCAACGAGGAGCTGCTGGGTGCCGAACACATCTGAAAATCTGGCTCTCAGAGCGGGCACTGAGCCCTGGCAAATCTGACTCCCAGCCCTGCTGAAAATCTGTCACCACATCGTCAATGTTAAAAGACAGGTTTTTCAAATGGGAAAAGTGCATTTATCACCCTCCACAAACTCACGAACAACACAAGGCATAATTGCTCAAACGTCAAATAAAAATTCTCGGCTGAGTAAACACCACGCGTGGACCTTTTTTGATCCCCCAATATGAATGCTTTAGAACAGGATGAGCATGTGGCCAGCGGGGCTGTAATGGAGAGTGCTTTGTATCCTTAACTCTACCAGGCGTGATAAAGTGCCCGCTATCATGAAAAAAAAGCTCATCTGAAAGACAGAGGGAAACCAGATGGGAAAAGAGCACAAACTCTCGGCAGGGATTTTAAGGATTTTTGCTTTTTTTTTTTTTTTTTTTGATTGCTTCCAATTTCTCCAAAATAACGCTCTCTCCCATAGCTCAAGGCTAAGAAGAAATATAGTCCCTTCCACCTGAGGCACTCGGAGGGCAAAGCTAAAGGCCAGATGTCGCTTTAGCTGCAGAGCTGCAGCACCCTGTACCACCAGGTGTGTGTGAGCATAACCCAGGGAGCACGCACCCACGTCCCGCTCACCCCAGTGGACACCTGAGGCTGCCAGGGTCTCTACCTCAGCTATTGCTGATTGCAACACCTTGGTTACTTCTGCTTTCGCTATTCTTTCTACTGCTTGGGCAAATGCTTCAGCGACTCTGTCTGCCTCTGGGTTTTCTGATCCTTCCACCGCTGCTCCATCAGGGTTGACCACGTTTCCACTGGAGCTTCCCTTCAGACTTTCCATCTCCCCTCTCACTGCTGCTGCTGCTTTTAAGGCATCCACCTCTGCTTGTGATCCTGCTACATCCTTCTGTGCTGCTTCTGGTGCCGTGACAGCCAGCGCCTCCATGTCCCCTGCAAGGTCCCCAGTGGCCAGGGCAGCAGGAGATCCCATCCCAGGGGATGGCACAGCCACGTGGAGTCGGAGAGCTGCCCGTGATCCTGTCGGAAGAAATGTGGAGAGTGAATCAGCACAGCTATGAACAAGTGCTTTTCTTAGAACCATTACCAGGGGAGCAGTGGCAGGACCTGGAGCTGAAGGAGCCACCTGGGGCTGCCTTTCAACTACCTGGCCTTTCTGTGCAGACACTGAGTGAGAGCCCAAGACCCAGTGCACTCGCTGGGTAGAGCAGCTGCGACTCTCGCATCCCAGCATCACACTCTCCTGTGGGTGGCAGCCACTTCTGTGGCCTGAATCAAGGCCAAGGACACAACTGTACACCAAAACATCTCCAGCCCTTCATATTGGGTGGTTTGTATAGCAATCATAGACAGAGAGGAGAATAAAGGGAAAGCTGGCTGTTTCCCAAGAGATGTTTGCTTAATATCCCAGAAAAAAAAAGAAAAAAGTTTTCTCTACCAGAGAAAACAGAGCACAAATTCCAGGGAACATACAATTTAAACGATTTTTTTTTTCAAACTGTCATACCCTTGTGAACCTTCTGTGAGAAGAATCCAAAGGACAACCCCAGAAGCAGGAAACAGCAGGCTCAAGTCAGTCAGACACAGTGCACCTCCTCCCAAATTTCTGCCGACACACCTCACTTCTGACCTGCAGCATCCTTACTGCTGCAGTCTGTGCACTCTGTATGCAGCCAGGCTGCTCTGCTTCAGAATCTCTGCTGTGACTCTGAGTCCCAAATTGGGATGTTTTGTCCCAATACCATGGGACGACCATCAGCTCAGATGGGTGAAATTTTGATGATCAAATACACACAGGACGTTGGTAGAGGAGATCCATACCTTTGTCTGATATATGTATCAGTCAACTTTAGTATTACGAGATCTCCTGACAAACATAGCCCTGCTGTCAAGCCTAAAGACAGGTAACAGTGATGTTAATAAGTAGTTATCTCAACAGACATTGAGCAGCCATACCACAGATGCTGCTCCTCCTTAGCAATGCCTACTCCAGCCCAGAAGAACAAGCCTAGGAAGTGATACCAGGTGGAGTAAGTTTTATGAATTCAGAGCATGAGATGAGGAGTCAGAAATAGCCACCAGGCTCGTCCATACCCACCAGTTCGGGCAAAGATTCCCCAATTGATTCACTCCCCTGTGTTCTGTCCCTTCTCTCACATGGACACCAGCGAAAGCACTGGGGCAGCAGACATCAGTTTTTGGGCATATGATCACATAGCACTATAGGATTCCTATAGCATAGAGGCACTTGCACTCCACTGTAACCCAGCCAGCACAACACAGGGGCTTGGCACAGCTCCCTAGCCCCCTGCACACCTCCATGAGCAGTCCCGAGCAAGGCACGAGTAATGCTCATCAGATCTGCTGAGCAAGGGGGAGCTGCGGGAGGCCCTGATGCGAGCACACGGCGGGTACCGGCTGTTCCCTGCTCACATGTGCTCCACAAACCACTACCAGGGAACTGGGGCAAGCCTGATCAGATCGTGATGAAACCACTGTTCAATACCATTCAGCATTAGCAGCTGAAAAAGAGGAGAAATAAGGGGAGAAGCTGGGGAAGGACAGGATGGAATGAACAGGAGGTGCTGGGGTGAGAAGAAGGGGGAAATGGGAAAGAAAAAAAAGGGAAAAAGAGGACTGGGAATATATAAGGAAAGAGGAAAAACTGGGGAAGGGGAAAGCAGCTGCAGGTCACCAGTGCCAAGAGAAGGAGCTGCACCCTTCAGCAGGAGGAGTTGTACACTGCAGCAGAAGACTGGGGCCAAAAGCCACCCGCAGGAGCCCGCCCCGCACACCTACATCCTTGTGGACACAAGTCAGTCACTCGCCCGTGCCACTGAACAAGCTACCTGCATATCTGCTTCATTAAATAGTAACCCTGTAGGTCTGCTGACAAGAACATACTTCTCTCTCCTCTGGTAATTAGCCCTGAAGGCTGGTCACGCTCACTGGCCATGAAACGCTGCAACAAGCGGCCTTTTCATGCCGCCAGCTTTACCTTTGTCCCTGCCTGTTCCCATCAGCCGGGGGCAGGCAGGCAGGCATGGTGCCCGCCCGACTCCGCGCTCCTCGGCCCCCTTCACGCTCTCCCCCCGCAGGCGTCTCTCAACAGGGCAGAAATGAGCTGGCTGGGACGGTTGGATGACATCTGCAGGGACCAGGAACCTCTTCCTTTTTTTCGCTCTGGAAAAACAAGGCCAGCTCCAGCCGTGGCGATTCGCTGCCAGCCAGCTCGAGACAGCTGCAATTCGATCTGCTGGGAAGAGGAAGGGTCTTACGAGGCTCCAGAGATGCTGGAGAGGAAGCACGGGGCTTTGTGTAAGGAGCTGGACAGGAACTGAAGGCTCAGCTTGTCTGCATAAGGCCAGGCACAAAGTTTGCTCTGCTGAGTGGCTTTCTCTCATTTGCACCTTGAGAAAGGGGCTCTGCTACCTACCGTACGTGCCAGCCGTGACAAGGCTCTGGTCCCAGTTAGTGATCGTGTCAGAAGAGCAATAAAAGAACAAAATCTACTTCAACGAAAGTAAAACACCTCCCAAAGTTCCTGAAATGTGGCCTGAGTTAAGCTAGAGCTGACCCGGACCCACAGCATAAGGGATTAAAATGTTATTTTGGAAATTACTCGCCTTGTCAGAAAACAAAGGCGCAGGTTAGCAACACTTACCCCCATCAAAGACGGCATGGCCCCGAAACAAAGTATGCATAGCCCAAAGCTCTAGCTTTATGATCGCATTTCCCCTCCGAGATATTTGGGAGACAAATTCCAGGCACCTCAGCAAGCAGACCAGCACAAAGATTAAAAGCAAAACTATTCCCAGGGATTCTGGGCAGCCCGTCCCAGCAGGGAGACCAGGGACCTTCGAATAAACCTTCAGCTGTGCTCAGACTTGAGATGCGACCTCAAGTAAGCCACTCCAGCCTGAGTCCTTCATCTGCAATGCCCTGCGCTGGCCATGGCTGAGAATTAGCAAAGGTCACTCCTTATTTTCTGCTCCCCGAGGTCTGGTCACTGCAAGGTTGGTCTTTCCGGAAGCTGGCTGCCTGCACAGTTTTTGTATACGTACATATTAGCATTTCGATCCACATTTGCATGGGGACTAATCTAACCTCATAACCTCCAGTTTAACCTCCTAAATTGCCTCTGAAACGCCAGGAGATTACCCTGCTGCCCCCTCCTCAGGCAGGCTCCCGGATCAAGCCACCACTCAGCTGCACCACCTCGCCCAAGCCCAGCACCTCGACACGAGGTCTGTGTCCCCAACCTGAGCACTCGCATACCTCGCTCAGGATCGTGCCCTTTAGGTGCCTCCCCTCTGCTGAACAAACCCTGCTTCCTCCCATCAGGGCTCTGCTTTCTGCTCCGCAGCAATTTCCTTCGCTCGGGGAAGCAGCTTGCAAGGCCCCTCGTTAAAATCTCTCCCACCACTTGGCAGTTGTGTAGTTTGCCCCCAGCCCATTTGTTTATGTCTGACTAATGTTCATTGCCTCAAAATGAGTTTGAAGCTAATGCTGTGTCTCCCAATTAAATGTTTGATGGAATGACATCAAAACCAAAACAGACAGAAAAAATGATTTCCCTTTGATAGGCTGACCACGTTGTACAGAACTTGCTATTAGAAGGCTCCGGTTGCTCAGAATTTTGCCAGACTTTAATCTTCTGAATTAAAGCTTTCCATGCGGGTTGTCTGCCCCAGCTGGAATTTAGGGTGAAAATTTCAGCTAACGCAGTTCATCCACTAGAGGAAAACTTTTTACCCAAGTTAAAAAATAAAAATAAAACTGATATTCCTTACAAGCATTTGGTCAAACAGTCTCAGCACTACAGGTCGCAGCATTGATTTAAAATTTGGCAGGAACGTCACAACAGTGCAGGGGAATTATGTCCGTACAGCATTTAGGGGAGTGACACACCTTTGGCCAAACTGTGAGCCCCTGAAAAATCACCGGTTGCACATGCTCCATAGCGATTTGTGATAGTTTGGCAGCTAAAATATTTTTCAAAGTCCTGACTTCATAACCTGAATGTTCTTTTTGTGCAGTTTTGGTGTTCTTTAATGTAATCTATAAAAATAGCCAGTGACCTTTAGTGACATCCAACAGGCTCCTGGTTTCCTTCCATGGTTTGAAGACTTAAACAATAGCCCCAAAGAAATGACTCATTACTACACACACATGTACTCAGTGCCTGGGAAACTGCTGGCTGTCGGTGAGCAGGAACAAGAAGGAGATTCGCACAGCTCCAAAGCGTGGCGGGCTCAAGCAATTCGGGGATTCACACATGCAAGGCCTAAGATACAGCCAACAACTTCCCCCCAGCCACTGCTCCAAGCACCAAGCAGGGAGGGGATGTCCACAAGTTTTGGGTGAAAGACAACTGGGGAAAGATAATTCAGGGTTGCCAGAGGACTTGGTGGCTACTCTCAGCCTATAATGCTTACCATTACTGAGCCTCCCAACTCCTTAGCACAGGCTGCTAAAGCTTTCAGTGTAGTGAGTGGAGGATCTGTGTTCCCAAAACAGCATATTTCTATAGGTAGGGCAGGAGTATTCAATTACCCTCATTCTGAAAGGGGGAGGAAAACTTCATAATCCTATTAGGCAACATTCACTTGATACCAGCTTTTAACACGTGTGCTTGTAACCTCAGCCAGAAAGAAACCTTCAGCAGCTCAGCTGGTGGAACCGTTGCCTGTAGACCATGCTTGAAATCTGCAGGTTTGTGAATAAATCAGGATTCTGGAAGTGGGGTCAACCTCCTGGCTGACAGTCGCAATATGACAACTGCCAGCGTTCAAGGAAAGCGGACAGTTTGCAAGTGAGTTATGCTGTTGCTCTGAAATCCCTGTCCCCTAAAAACTTCTATATAGCTGCCAAAGCTGCTATTTACCCAACATAGCCATAGCACTTGGGTCATTAAACAATACCGATGGCAATGCCCAGAGAACTCCAAGCACCTATTGTAGTATCACTGAATTCCTCCTTTGATCACTATGGTCAGAAATACCTGATTTTTATCACTC